CTGCGGCCGCGGGTAATTCGCCCTCAGCTCCTTAAAAGCAGGATTTAGGGGGTGCACGAGCTTCCAGTCCTCTCTCGGGGCCCTTCATCTCCCCGCCTAGGCCAGTGAAACTGGGAAGGACGTCACGCTGATGCCGAAACGTGCCCAGCTTCCCTTACTGGGAAAGGAAATGCGATAGCCGAGCTCGGGCGGTGTAACCAGGGCTGAGGTTTCCTGCCCAGGTCATTCCTCCGTGGGCTGTGCTGGAGACCGTGTCTAGAAGCTTCTCGAGGCTCTGCCCTGCGTCGAAGGTCTCCCTTTCTCCTCTCCTTCCTCCCCAGGGCTTTTTGGCTTCTTTCCATGGTGGGCGGTGGCCGTCTCCCTGGGGCTGGCGCTGGCCATCTCCGTAGCCCTCGTTGTCACCTGCTGCTGGTGGAGGAAGCGAGGAAAGGACCCCCAGAGAGGTTTGTCCCTGGGGTCAGCATGGTAGCTCATGGGACAGGCAGTCATGGGGCTTTGGCTGGGCAGCCCCTGCCCTGCTCCAGACTGCTGTCACGCTCCTAACGCTCTCTGTGCTGGCCCTGGGCTTCTCCCTTCTCCTGGGGCTGCTGCGGGATAAGCCACTGGGCACTGTCACCCCCCTGCCAGCCACTCCGTGGGGCACGAAGTCTTCGCCCGGCCTCGCTGGTGCAGGGTGCTCCAGGCTGATGAGCTTGGTGAAGCATCCCAGCAGCCCAAGCATCGGTGCCCAAACCCGGAGACCTCGTCCCATGGGGACGTTTTGGGTTTGGATACTCATTTTATTCTGAGCGGGAGCATCCCTCCCCAGCCCCTGCCACAAAGTAAAACCTCCCCGTTGCCAAGTGACCTCCTTCTCCCTCTGATTTGCTTTGCTTGGGGGCTGAACCCCCCAGTCTGGGGGCTCTCACACCGACCCTTCAAACTCCCCCAGGAGACGCCAATGAGACGCTGACTGTGTACGCGGAGGTGGGCAAATCTCGCACCGGCAAAGACCCTGTGAGTGCTGGGGGTGTCCCTGGGCATCCTCTCCCCACGCTGCCTGGAGGGATGGGATGTCTGTCACCCCAGCTTGCGCCCTTTAACCAGCCTGGGGTTGCTTTCTCCCTCAGAATGGGACCAGTGAGGCCACCGGGACAGGAAACACCATCTACACCACCATCTGCACCACGACGCAGGTAGGGTCAGTCCACAGCAGTCCCGCTGTGTGTCTAACAGCTGCCAAGACCACCCTTTTTGCCCAAAACTTGTTTTTTCTTTCCGCATCTCGACCGTTTTTCCCTGGCAGGGACCCAGCTGCCCTCAGGAGCCTGGAGCCTGCACCATCTACTCTGTGATTCAGCCCACCAGGAAGGTGAGGTTGCCTCGCCGTGTCCCCGGTCCCTCTGCAGCCACACAGAAACCTGGGTTCCCTCGGTCCATCAACCGGGTGCCGGGTTGACCGTCCCGCTCGTGCATCGCCTAACACCAGGTTCTCGCTCTGCTCCGCAGCCTTCTTCTCTCAAGAGGAAGAGGCTGGACCCAGCTTTGGTCTCCACTGCCTACGTAGAGGTAACGGGCACCAGACCGGTGGGGAGATAAGCCCTGGGTATCTCCAAAGGTCATCAGCTTTTGGAGCTGCGGTGGGCTAAACCCCGCTCATTTCCTTGCAGGCTACGGGTGGTTTCAGACGTTCGTGCCACGCGTTGCAGACCTTGCCCCCGGCCCCTGCCAGCCGCCACCTCTCCTAGTGCCCCGGCTGCCAGGGCAAGACCTTCCCTTCCCTCCGGACCTCTGCTCCCCGAGCACCCAGAGACCTCCAGCACCCACCAGCACCTCACCCAGCAGAGCCGGGGGCTTGCTCGGGGTGGAAGTGGTCAGACCCGGGTTTCTGCAAGGTTGCAAAGCCCAGCTGCGCCCTGGAGGCTTTGCTGCGAGGGGAGGAGGAGAGCCTCGGGGATGGAAACCTGTCCTGGGAGGAGAAGGATGGGAGACTGGGCAGGCGGGGTCCTGGGGAAGAGGATGCGCGTGGAGGGGGTGTGTTTAGTGCCCGTGTGTGATCTTGCGGGGTTTTTTAGGTCTTGACAGGTTCTGTACACCTCAGGAATTTATTTTTGGGTGTGAATATGAACTGAACTGCACGAGGCAATTGTGGTGCTTGTTTAATTAGCTTAATTGGCTATTTCTACCCTGAAAGGTACCTTGGGCACAGGGAGGGAGTGGCAATTGCCTTGTTTGTGGCTTGGGAACCTCTGGAACAAATGGGGTCTTACGCAGAGACGCACTTTTGCGAAGTTTCAGCTGCGCATGTTGGGTAGGGGAGAGGTGGACGTGCTTCGAGCACCGGCTGGGCTGGGCACGGTCCCGGCTGCCCCGTGGCGAGCTGAGACCGGAGACGCTGTCACATCCTTTCCCACCGGAGTCATCCCGTGCTCCCACAGTAGCCCTGGGAGAAGGAGGTGGAGAAAGAGGGGCTCTGGTTTCAAAGCTCTTCCCAAAGGTGAGATCAAGGGCTTTCCTTTGGGATTTAGGGGACCTAATATATACTTACAAATATCTGCAGGGTGGGTGTCAGGAGGATGGAGCCAAGCTCTTTTCAGTAGTGCCCAGCGACAGGACAAGGGGCAACGGGCACAAACTGAAGCACAGGAAGTTCCGTCTGAACATGAGGAAGAACTTCTTCCCTCTGAGGGTGACGGAGCCCTGGCACAGGCTGCCCAGAGGGGCTGTGGAGTCTCCTTCTCTGGAGATATTCCAGCCCCGCCTGG